TTACATAGATTTCTATCTTTATCTAGGCTCGACTAATGGCTCCTATTTGTCTTAGTCTTAGAAAAGACTCCCAATTTATCTGAGGACAGTGATGCCTTCTGACTCTTCTGTTGAGAGGGAAGTGAGAAATAACAGTACCATAATTATAGTTGAAAAGCCAAGTGTGACTATAAAAGTTAAAATACAAAGGCAGTTTCATAAAATAACCAAATAAAGGGAGGAGTCAAGATTCTAAGACACTAAACCAACATCCAAAATACAACTCTTGTTCAACCGCTTTATTTAGCTTTATGTGCTTTTGTCAACTCACAATCCAACTTGTGGTAACAGCTCTGCTGTTATACCGGAATCGTTATTTTATTTTTGTCCACAGTATGTTGTAACGGGACAGCCAATATCTGCTTTTGCTCCATCAAAATTAACACAGTCGTCTCCAGCAAAAAATTTGTCACAACGATAAAAACTGAGCTGTCAATTTGCAACACGAGCAAACTTTGCCATCAGGCACATTAAGTGTTCAAACTTGAACATCTTCATTTGTTATTTTTCCACAAAAGGATATAAGAATCAGAACTACTGTTGGTTGGACATTACAAATTACTTTACTGAAATCTGAAGACAATAAGTTTAAATTGAAGCATTCAGGAGAGAAGGAGTGCAGGTAAAAAGAACACAGCATTTATCAGTTAGCAAGAACACTCCCAGAAACTTCAAAATAATTTTTTTAGATATTTAATAATAGGTACTATCAGTTACCCAAACAAGGCACACATGTTTACTCAGCCATGCATCAATTAAAAACCACTGTCCTTTGTAAAACTTACTAAGGAGTGCTTCTACAACTTTGAAATGAAACCTGACTTTCAGAGATCCAAGTATTTCATTGCACAGCTTCAAAGCACTGCTACAACTTGGCAAATCAAAGTTGTAATGCTTCTGTATTTTTTTTGTATCGTGTGGTTTAATGTTAGCAACTCTGAAATCTTCAATGCCATTAATTTACTATGAAAATTTCACACAAATTTTTTGGGGGGTCATCTTCCACAAAAACGGTTCTCTGACCTGGGTAATACACCTCTGCTCACGTGGTTCCATTTCCTCCCCGCAGCAGCAAGATGCTCGCTAGCTTTCATATGACAAAATGGCTAGCGAACTCTGTACAAATAACTTAAGATGACAAAGTTTGAGTATTCATAAATTAAAAACATGTCAGAACTAAGATTATGAAATCTTAATTCACTCCCCACGTCTTAATTCGCACACCCCACGTTTTCCATCTCCCGTGGTAGCTGGAACACCTACGTACACCCCGACACTTCCAGAGCAACCAGGCCTCCCGTGCACAGGTAACTGTGGCAACTGTAAGCACAACTGTGTCCCTAAATACAGCCCGAGACACGAACATATGACGATGTATATTGGAGCGCAATTTGACGTATGCACGTTGTCCTTCCTTTGCTCCCTGCCCAGCAACTTACAGGCTCTTCCCACAGCCAAACTGTCAGTTAACTGAGAAGAAAATAGTGGCATTCCCTTTCTCGTTAGCTATTTGTGAACTCTGTGATGGTTTTTTACTTCACCGGTCCTTACTTTATGACATGCAGAGTGGTCTTCCGTAGACGGAGCATCTGGGGGGCTGTAATGGAACTGCATAAAGCAGTCAGCATAGGATGCTGTCCGGCTCCAAGCGCAGTCGGAGAAGAAGGGAGAAATCGTCCAAAATACTGTTGAATAATGCTACCAAGCAGTTGATTTAAATAGGCACCTTGTGTTTGGGACTGACAACATATAAAGGACAGGCCCTGTAGAAAAAAATTTTAGAAAGTGAGAAATTGAATTTTTAACAATACTTTGGAATAAATCTTTAAGAACCGTAGGCTAAATACTCGCTACACGCTGTGTAAACTGCTGCACACAGAGTAACTACGGCATGACACAAGCGTCACTAATTTGCTGCAGATATGATGGTATACAAATGAAAACAGAGCCAGGGCAAGGCTTGCAAAGGAGAGAAATCTTTTACTAGACTAATTAATATATTGGAAGATAAGCTTTGGGACATGCAAGCTCCCCTTCAAATCTCAAATAAAACCTTGGCATTTCAGACCTGAGAAAGTGTTTCTGTGCCCAAGACCTCCTCGTGTCTTTTTCAACTCTGTACGTGGTCTAACAAAGTATATTAGTCCAGTAAGATTGATGAAGGAAGAGAGACAATACCTCATCTGTTTGTAAAGCACCATGGGAATTTTTTGTATGAATGATATAGCAGAAAAATAAACACTTAGAATCACAGTCTGGCAAAAAAATTTTGCTCATAGTTTGAACAAATTAAGGTAAATTAGACACCATTTATAAGGTATTTGGAGCGGGGTTTTTTTGTTGTTTGTTCGGTTTGGTTTTTAAATCTGTTTAAGATAAGGCTAAAACTGCTGTGATTTATCCAATATAAGCTATATTGATCCAGAGAAAAATCTGTAATGAAAGCACTTGCCCAGAAAGTGCCTCTCTGAACACTACCCATAGTTACACAACATAGACATGGTACATCTCTGAAAAAAGATTATTTTTCTTGTTGGTACAAGTTGCTGTGAGAGAAAGTTAAGAGTTTCCTTCCCCTTCCTTTGATTACTGAATGGAAGAAGAACAAATCACTAAGGAATAAATAAATAAATAAATAAATAAATAAATAAAGCCCACTGGTCTCTTATCACAAGGGTCACAGACAGTGGCACAAACAGAAGCCTCTTGAGAATTCAGTTTTCACAACAGTTCTGTCCAACAATAATAATGGCATAAAAAAAGTTCAAGCACAGAGTTCCCCAGACAGCAGCTTCAACAGGACTTCAAACTTCCACTATCACTGCAGTCCAGACTCCAGTTCTGGTAGGAGGAGTATCTGCCTGAACATCGATGGTTGCTGAGGTCAGCTGATGCCCCTAATATATGAATGAATAGTTCAAAACAAGCTGCTTTTGTTCCCAGCTACCAACAAAGAGTATTTCTGGTGCTTTTTGCATAGGAGCCCCTCCCCACAAAAGATTTTCATCTATACCTGTCTGTGTGAACATGACAGAACAATTCTTTCAGAAAAAAAAAGCAGGATGAGACACAGCTGAGGGTTGTCTTGGCACTTTCTTGAAATGGGGAGTTCCCACTTTTGGTTCCACAGTGAGCAAATACAGGAAACATGAGATTTCAAGAAATGAGGTGCTTCAGGACCTGCCTGAAGACTTGCTGTAGGTGGCCCTCTTGAACACAGACATATTCGGTCAGGGTTTAACTTCACGTGCTTCTAGACCTCCTTGGTAATTTTGGTAAGTGATAAAACCCACGCTTCCTGAACCGGGACTTTGAGAAACAGTTCCGATTCTCTCCTCCCTTTGTGTACATCCAACAAAATTTTGTAGGAAAAAGCAGCTGCTGCTATATCAGAATTCTTAAAAGTACTGTTGGCAAGTAGCAGACGCAGAGAGACTGTTACAGATGACAGATTATTTCATATAATTTCATATAATTATTATTATTTCATGAGTTACTGTTTTTAAGAAATGATCCTAAAGACTTAAAAGGTGTGATAAAAAGCAAAAAATATCAGAATTTAGATATCTGAAGGAACACAGGCTAATTTTTGCAGATCTTCTAATAGTTTATTTTGAAGATGAATCCACAAACCTAGCCTGATCCTTCATATACGCATTTTCATTTTCTGAGTTGAAGTAAACTGATTCTAATTTTTTGAGGTGTAGGCTGGGGAGAGATGTAATCTGAAAAAGAAGGAAAAGATTAAATAAAAAAAAAAAAGCCAAAACAACAACACACTACCCTGTCAAGACCATTGCTGAAAGATACTCTTCTTGACTAGAGAGGAAAAAAAAGGATGTAAGTTAACTAGTGATTTTTTTCTTTAGTTATCTGATGAGGATATAGAGAGCTCTTGAAACTCTGTAAGGACAGCTGTTAGCTCAAGAAGCATTTAGAAACACAGAAAATGCCTTTTTTCTGTAACCAAATGTTTTCTTTAGACAGGATTCTAGGTTCCTTTTTGGTGGGTCAGGCAGAGATGCTGCCTCTCAAAAAAGGTGTAATTTTAAAACTATGTAGCAATACCAAAATTCTCTTTTCAATAAGGAGGAGGATCATCATTTTTCCTAATGGAAATTACAAGATTAGCACCAACAGCTTCCAAGATATAAATTCTTATTTCCAGTGAGAAAATAGCGAGAAAAATCAGCTTCCATTTTATTGGAAGGCAGAAAAATACCTCCAAACAAAAGCCCATTCTCTTCCACATAGCAGAAAAATCCATTAATAAGTCCTCACACAGGAAGGGCACATCTACAGCATCAAAGCTCTTCAGGGAAGAGTCGTCACACCTTTGACCCTGAGGCTTCTACTGTTCCCTAAAAGTTTGCAGAGAAGAATGTGGATTTCTCTTTTGGACATGAAGGTCCATTGACGTTAGCTCAACATTGCATTCTTTATTTTGGACTCTTCTTTTTCTTGCATAAGTGCAGGGAGCAACAGACCTGCACAAGGTCTGACAACGTCATATCCCAAGTGGCACGAGGGATAAATTACCAACACTGCACAATAGCTCCAAATCCCTCAGTACAATGGCAAAATATCCTAGGATACGCTAGGCCAAGGATGTGATTAGAAGGAAATCACACAGAACTTTCTTCTTTTATATCCTACCAGTAATTAACAGAGATGAAGGAAGCTACTGTTCATATGAGAGAGAAAAGAAAAACATGCTACTGGACTGCAATTCAGGACCAGAGATCTGAAATCACATCAGACCCCTAGGATAATCCCTACAAAGCAGATGGACTTTAAAGGGTTGATAGAGCCACCCTCTTTTTCTTAACTATGTTCTTTAGCCATCTTCTGAGGTTAAAAAAACCCCAGAAAACCAAAGACATTTTAAGGGGAGCAGAGGGGCATGACAACATCTGCTCCTCATTTTAGCAGAAAGGCAACTGATTCCTGCGCGTGTTCACTGCAGGAACCTTTTGTGGCCAGAGCTGCCTCTTTCTTCTGATTTATCCATATATCTGTAAATCACCTGCGGAGAGCGAAGAACCGATTAGTATGGATTACTGGAACTATTCAGTGCAGAAATGCCAAGCTACCTAATGATGACTTACAATATCAGTCCTGCTGTTGGAATAAATCTGCTGTTCACCAATTAATGTTGTACATTTCCTATTAAACACATACTATAATTCACAAAACATATTAATAAGCTTGCTCAAATATCGGACCACAGATGTGGCTCACAGGAGGGCTTTTAAGGTCTGATCTCTGACAAATGCTGAGCCTGCACAGGCCCATTAAAATCACTGGAAAATGTATGTGCCAAGCACTACTTAGAATTAAGCTCTTTCTCCACTCTCCTGTATTTAGCTAGAAATCAACTATCTTCTGTGTTTGGACAGGATTAACGCTGATAAATCAAGCCGGGTATCTCACCTTTCCCATCATTATGTGTACTATGCTTATTCCATGCACCTCCACTGCATTCTGCAAGATATATTTAACCTAGTATTTCTTCTTATTTTAAAATAAGTTCTGTACACTGCCTCAATTCTTTCCCATGTTACTGGTACACATGTACCAAAATTCCTGCAAATCGTTCTCCAAGAAATCCATCCAAGAGCAATCTCAACTGCTCTCAAATTTCCTGCGGGAAGCTTCAGTGATCCACGATCCCACAAATCGACGCAACTTCTTTTTACAATGGCAAAATATCTAATGTTAGATTTTACATGCCTCAGTATCTCATAATTAAGAACAGTTCCATAAAACTATAAAACGGCTGTTCATTCATGTTCTTCATGCTCTACTTTCTGAAGTCCATCATTCAAACAACTCCGAGGACAATTTTGATATTATATCCCAACAAAATCCTTCTTAGGTCATCAAGTATTATCAAAACAGATGATGCACAGTAAAAGAAATAATATCCAGACAGTAACCCTTTAGGCAAGAAAAAAATACTAGTTTAAAAGTTGCTAGAGCTGAGCTATTTTGACAAGGCAGAATCAGTGACTGAGTTTGAAGGACACTTCTAGATAAGTTCAATGTATAGTGGAGAACAGATCAATTGCCCAATCACTGATCTAAAGCACAGCTGTATAGCCAAAATTTATATATACAGTAAACACAAACATAACAACTAAATACAGTCAGTCTAAACTGAAGAGAGAAATGCAATGTCTCATCTTAATTAGCGCATTTGAGATTTATTTGTGCTTGTGTAAAATTAAACAAAACCTGTACTTTTGATCTATTAAAAATAGATCTGTAGGTTTGGGGGGGTAGTGAGTGAGGGTGGGATAGTCATCAGTTTTGATGAATTGTGAACTATGCTTTGAGGAGAGAAAAAGGAGCTTCGTATGTTGCCCTAAGAGATGAAAATTTGGCCTCTGCCATTTCAGGGTGACGAACAAAGGCGATGCCCTCTCTTAGTACACCACAGTGACAACAACATTGTTCTTGTTTTTAAGCCTGCTGCCCAAGTTCTGCGGCCAGCTGCATTACCCTTACACAGAGTGTGACCGTTCGGGGACTCTTTTTCTATACAATTCTACAGGATTTCCTAAGACTCCTGCATCAATGAATGTGTGAAATTACCTACTACCAAGACTGATTTCAAACCCTCTTCAAAACCCACATAAAAGGATCAAATAAACTACATTACGAACAGATTTGAAAAGCTCTGGAAAGAGGGAAATTTTGCAAACTAGTTAAGTTTTGTGAGATCTAAGAAGGTTTTTCTGGACAAAGAAGGGGGAGCCCACACTGAAGGAGCTGAAGAAGGAGAATTCAGAACAAAAAAAGAAGAGAAGATTGAGATGGAGCCTAGAACTTTTACGAAGATTGGACAAAAAAGAAAAAAAAAAAAAAGAATTGAAAAGACCTCTGAGTAGAAATGCTACTCAAGGGCTTTTATGCTTTGACTATGAATAAAGAATTTGCATGTATAAGAAGATACTTTGCACGGTCTCCAAACTCCTGTTTCTTTGTTTTCATGTAACTGCCAAAAGATTAAGTTGTAAGCTATGTTGCTAACAGGGACAGATCTACAGATCAGTGTCTGTCTAACATTAGGGTGAATTAAGGCTCCTGCACTAAAATACCACTGCTCCACCTCCCGGGATGGGCACCAGACATAGGGCAGCCCCCCATGGAGAGCCTATCACACCTCACCAGCAGCTTCAGTTAGTCAAGGTGGGGCTATTGCCAGAGGACGCCCTTTGTCTGTCCTCCCACCATGTTTACATGCTTTCCTTCCTGCATATACTGTTTTATCACTTTTCCGATAGGCTCATTTGGGGTTTTGTTTGTTTTGTGGGGCTAGTTACTAGTTGGATCAGCTCACAAATCACCCCACATTCACAGAATCATGAAAGCAAATTAAATGGGAATGCACATGGGTGTGAAAAGCAATGAATTTAGCCTTAAGCCAACTGTGCAATGATAACCAGAGAAGTCAGAGAGTGCCTAGAATCCATTCAATCTCAAAGGAGCTCAGACGCAGACCTAAGAGACTATTTTATTTTTTTTTAAACTGATATTGAAATATTTTCATTTTGAGTTGATCCCAAATCGGAATTTTTCCACTTTCCCCAATAAAGGGGAAGGAAGTATTTTGAAATTAATGAAGCAGTTTGAAGCACTTAAAAATGCTGGAACTTTGCAAATACAATTAACAAAATGTAGAAGTTCCATACCGAAATAGGAAAAATAACTCTCCTCTTTGTCTTCTCTCCCCAGAAGTGTTGGTGAAATTAAAGAATTACTGGTTTTCTAGAAGCAGCACTTGTCTAAAATAAACTGTTTGGTCAATAAGATCATCTAGCTTTGCCAGAAAGCACGCGGACTACGCAGCAGAGTGCTGAAGAGTAGGACAGTGAGGTCAGAAGGCAGAGACTGACAAAGAAAACAGGAAACAAGGGTTCACAATGCTTGGACTTCAAAACCAACTTGAGTGGCTTCATCTTAAAACTACATCCGTATGTGCAGACTACAGAGAAACAGTGCTCTCTGACTAAAATACTAAATTAGGAAGCAGACAGTCACACTCTGTGGTAATATCAGCGTCCAGATGGTCTTACACGTATATAGCTTCTGAAAATACCTACGGAGCAGCAAAGCAAGTCATATTCTGCACATCATTATATAATCACATTCACTTCCACATGACATGCCATTGATCACAATGCAACTTTTGAAAGAAAGAATAAATCCAAGGGATGTTTATAATGTCACCACTGCACTGTTTCACAATACAATCCTGTAAAGTAATCAGTTAAGACTGCAATCAAAATGAAGACTAAGAGGGGAGGGCAAAAAGCAAGCAAAAAAAGACCCAAGGATTTACAAGAAAAACCACGTCGACTTATTTATTTAAAAAATATATCCTTTTCTCTTCCTCACCTGCAGGAATTAGTCTCTTTCTACAGCACCACCAAGCCTTACAGAGTTTCAAGAGTGACAGGTAAGCTGAGGGAAGAATAGGAGGAGTAACGGGCAAGAAGGCTTTAGTCATG